GGTAGTGCCGCGACTTGATTCAATGTTTTCTGGTGTTAGCGTACGGTTCATTGCGTCGCTGGGGTAGACAGAGGGGCGCTCCTGGGTAACTGTTCTTGGGTAACGGCATTAAAAAACTCGCTCCTCCAATTTGTCTTGTACCAGCTACGCCCCTGCCCATACTGACCATCCTTGGCGTCTTCAGCCCTGCCCCTTGCCGCTTAGTATACAGTATTCACTTCTAGGTCTCAATGGCTTCGTTCCTATTTTCAGCAGGAAATGACACAGCTTCTTGACATTTTCCTAAAATTACGCACGTTGATACGAGGTTTTTTTTGCCGCGGTTAGACATCGGTGGGCACCTCAGGCATCTGCTCACTCGCGGTCGGTGGGCAAAAACAGCACAAAACATCATCGGTGACCCGACGGCGGCCACCTGCCGAACCATGGGCAAATCGCTACGGGTCCGAGACCGGTGAAGGAGTTCCAAGAGCACACTACAGGGGCTGTCTGTGACGAGGACGCTGGGAAAGGAGGCGAACACGTAAGAGATAAGCCCTGACACGACGCAGGGAGCAGCAGATATGTGTGGACGAGCACCGGGGCGCCAGCGAGGCCGTCGTAACGGTGACATCGGCTCCAAGACTCCACCAGCACAGCTATGGGAAACGGGATGTGATGCTGCAGTGATGGCGGCAGGAATCTAACGGTAGTCGCGGGCCGCGCTCTCTCATCCATGGATGTGACCACTGGGGTGATGGAGGAGCGGAGGGATAACTTGTGCTCCCAAATTTCGCAAAATTTGCCTTGTCCATCAATATTTTGTTGATATACTGTACGTTGTCACATCTTCTTTTCAAAATGCCATTTTTTCAGTCGGCCTCGGTTAGTCGGTCGAGTTCAGAGTCGGTCCCCCAGATTTCGGCTTGACTCCTTCAATTACCACTCCAGGAGTGCGCAGCTACTCCGGGAGTGCGTTGCTACTCCGGGATTGCGTGACTACCCCGGGAGCGAGTGACCACTCCGGTCCGTGTCAGCACGGCTTTCTTCGCGCCGTCGACAGCCGTCCTCTGCCCCGCCCCCCCCCCCCCCCCGCCAATCGTTTGGGAGCTGGCACCAAACTCCGCCGATGATGCTCCGTTATGACAATCCGTGAAGCCTGGGGGGGGGGGGGAGGGGGACAGGCGCGCAGCCAGAGAGGACAGGGTTGAAAAAGGTTCCCTGATAGCAAAAGGGCCCCCAAAATCACGGGATATGGCATATCTTTAATGAGGCATGTTTTCTTTGATATTGCATCTATGTACACACACAAACATATGCATATATATATATATATATATATATATATATATATATATATATATATATGGGGAGTTCCAAACGTTTTGATGTTATTTGTTTCACTAGCCGATTTTGCGACAGCAGGCTGACACAGGTATGGCGTGGCAACACGCCGACGCAGGCATGGAAACTCAGCAGGCATGCATGGTGTGACAACCGGCTGAAAGCGGTATGGCGTGACAGGAGACTGACGCAGACATGGCAGGACAGCATGCTGACACAGACATGGAGGCTGATACATGCGTGATGTTACGGCAGTCTGACACGTGCTGCTTGAATTAACCTTAATGTTAGCCAACCCCAATGGAAACCCAAACCCAAATGATGTTACGACAGGCTGACACGGCAAAGGCAGTGGGTTCGTCGGACGCTCAGAAAGCCGTCCAACGGACCCATCGGTAATGGGCACAGACTGTGGCGTCGCCTGTTGTAGCCGTCAGATGGTCACGTGATAGACGCTTCTCTCGCGTGACTGGCGATTTCACTCAGCAGCGCAGCGGGCGCCCTAACTGCTTTGTCACGCATCGCTGACTCAGCAGCAGCACATTTGGTTTGGTGGGGGTCTCCCACTGCGGAGAAGCTCTTCCGAGACCGCTGGTTTAGCTGTGGCTGTACTCGCGTGCGCTGAATAGTTGTGGTTGTTGGCCGTTACTGTCGGAGGGCCCACGCATTATCGGTAGCATTCTTCAGTGGCAAATAGTCATCAACATGCCAATGGCTGCACTGTTGTGCTGAAATATGAAGCGGGCAAAAAAACGGACAAACTTTCAACCTCTATCGACTGCCCATTCTAAAGACACGGGTCGGGCCCACCTGGTTAATCCGTAGGCCCTCAGAGATATAACTCCAGCAGAGGTTCCCTGCCTGACGCGGAGACCCCGCCCCCTTGACCGGGGAGCCGGGAGCCGGGCCCGGGTCGATGCACTGCCATTCTTCATATCTCTATTGTCGGGCCAGAGGGCCCGGACAGGATAAAGCGGCCCGCTGACATTCGGCGTCCCATCCCTGTCCCTGAGAGGCCTTCACGGGAAAGCTTGATTTACCCACTCCACCCGCCACCCATGGGCAATGCCCAGGTCCGCCCGCTACACGTTGGCTATCCCCATGTACACCCACTACCCGTTCCTAATCAATTGTACCCGCCCGCTACACATTGGCTATCCCCATGTACACCCACTACCCGTTCCTAATCAATTGTACCCGCCCGCTACACATTGGCTATCCCCATGTACACCCACTACCCGTTCCTAATCAATTGTACCCGCCCCGCTACACATTGGCTATCCCCATGTACACCCACTACCCGTTCCTAATCAATTGTACCCGCCCGCTACACATTGGCTATCCCCATGCACACCCACTACCCGTTCCTAATCAATTGTACCCGCCCGTTACACATTGGCTATCCCCATGCACACCCACTACCCGTTCCTAATCAATTGTACCCGCCCGTTACCCATTCACTTGCGCTTGTCCAACACGTTGGTCCTAACCTACTGACATGCCTCAATAACGCACCAAACTTGTGCATCAACATGAAAAAATGGCCCAAAAATTAACATGAGGACCGCTTGCTGTTTCAGGGGCCTGATAGATGCACGTGGCCTTACGGAGCAATTGCGAGTCCGGCCTTGTCCCTGCTTGGAAAGTGAGCGTTCAGGGCCCAGACCGACACGGAGCGGGCTGCTATTGGTTGCTCTGAACGACAAAGAGGCCCTCCCTATCTAAGGGGCCTCAGGGCCGAGGGGCCCACCAACCCTGGGCCAAGAGGCCCCGACTCAGGAACATAGCTAAGCGGAGCCCAGGGCTTCATAGTCGCGCCCTGAGACAAGAAGCTTGCATCAGATGTCGAGCAGTTGGCAGCAAAGTTTGAGAAATTTCGACACTTGACGTGACAATGGACCAAATCTAACAAAAAAGACGACGAGCCCCTGAGGCCTAGCGTACACTGCGGCAGATGGCGTCAGTCGCGGCGCTCCAGAGCACGCGAGAAGTACGGCATGGCATGCATGCGACAGTACACACGCATCAAACACGCGATATGGGGCGCGCCGCATCAAGCACGCGATACGGGGCGCGCCGCATCAAGCGCGCGATACGGGGCGCGCCGCATCAAGCGCGCGATACTGGGCGCGCCAGATCAAATACACGGCTTCAAATGTCTTGGTTGGTCTTTTTAAAAAGGTTGTTCGTTTGATATACGCTACCAATTCATTACGCGTTGGACACAATATGAGTAAATGGTATAACCGGTTTTCAAATGAGTTTTACGTGCTCTGAACTCTCCATACATCTTGTGTCAGTGACATCCGTGTAGAATGCTGGTATGTGTTTTAGATGAAACATTTCACTACGTGATATCTGGATCAAAATTTAAGCACCGCAAATAATTAACCGTCGTTGAAACATTTACTCCCAAATGGTGCCAAAAATCAGGCACGAACATTGAACTAAATATACAGGGTAATTAAGGTAAGACATATGACATACATGTGACACATGCTTCTGTTCATGTTAACGGCTATGTGCCGGCGGAGTGCGTTTCGTCATGTCTTGCGGGGATTTCAGAGAAGACGCGGTACGTGGCGACAGTGGCTACAAACTGCGGAGAGCCAAATTTCAGGCGGTGCATTCTCGATTTGATTCTCGTGCAATCATCGTAATAACCATGACCTGCGTAATTTTTGATGGCCATTAGAATGATTATGTGTTTCAGTCATATATCTTCACATCGCGAGCTACCAGACAGCATTTAATGCATGGCATCACCTGCTTTGTCTGACATAACGGGCGTAACACAGTACATCCACCTTATCTATCCATCACCATCATCGATCTCCACGCACACAAGTTGATAACTTGAGCGGAATCGATTCATGTCGCAAGTTAGGGCCCGCCGCGGTGCGACGCTGAAGGCCACATCGCATTCCGTTGGCGCTGCTCGCCGCTCACACACGCACCAGCATATGGACATCATATATGGACATCATCTAGCCCCAGCCCCTGCGGCACTGCCGGCGATCCTTGGCGCCTGGCCGCGACTTCCTAACGGTCGCCGCCCGACCGCATTAACGGGGCCATCGTGACTGGCGGGGAACTGAGTCGGGTCCACCACCGCGACTGGCGGGGCGCTGAGTCGGGTCCACCACCGTGACTGGCGGGGCGCTGAGTCGGGTCCACCATCGCGACTGGCGGGGCGCTGAGTCGGGTCCACCATCGTGACTGGCGGGGGCGCTGAGTCGGGTCCACCATCGTGACTGGCGGGGCGCTGAGTCGGGTCCACTACGTCGGCACACGCGGGAGCTAAGCATGACACTGGTTGCACGTAACTTGCGTGGTTCCCGCGCCACCAGTTTTACACTTGCCGATTCGAGCAAGCGCAAGATGAAGGTCATTGTCAGCGACCCGCCCGCCCCCCCCCCCCCGCCCTTGACGACGGGTGCCATGTGACACTGTTGCCATCTGCGGACCCGTGCCCTCCCGTGGGTCCCACGCAAGATCTCTGCCGCTCGGCCCTCTCGGCCACCACAGCCCATCTCATGAGCAGCAGGCAAACTCAGACCAGCTGCAGGTGCGATGCATAGAACTCATCCCCTTACGCTGAGACACTGACTGAACTGAATCTGATGTCCCTGACGCACCGGCGTCACATCAATCCACAGCCACAACATACGCACTGATCAAGCTCTTTGGCTGATTGTTTTGAGTGGTGAGCAACCACAGCATTGCAGGTATAGACCATTACAGTCATAGAACATTCATGACAGAGTAATATCGTGATGGGCTCGTAGTCGACTCTAAACTCCATTTAATTGCTCTTCTTGGAATGGCATTCATGAATCAGGGCCGAGATCGGACTCATGACCAGTGTAATTGAATCTCTCGGATTTGGATTCATACTCAAGGCACTGGAGCATGGACCGAAGCAAGATTCAACATCTCAGTGCCTCGACCTGGAGCCCTGACTCAAGCAACCTTGGAGGGATTCACCAAAGACTCGAAGCGGCATGCTCGGACTGGTACCTCGGCATTATGACTAAGCCCGGCGCCCACCACTAGGTCCCCTCGTCGCCCCCCTCGCGCTGGATCCAGAGCGTCTCATACGCGTGCGCCAGGCCGATGCCGGGGAACTCGCCGAAGGACTTGATCGTGGCAAGCCGGAACCCGGCCGTCTCCAGCGCGCGCAGCGTCCTTAGCTGATGGCGCGCGTCCTCCTCCAACAGCTGGTGCTGCCAGCTCGGGTTGTCGCTGAGCGTCCCGTGCGGGAACATCAGGTGGAACTCGATAGCCACCTGCGGCGTGCCGCGCAGCGCCGTGCCGCCGGCGGTCAGCTGGTGCTGCAGCACGTTCCACTCGCTGCCCTCAGCGTCCAGCTTAATGTAGTCGATGCGACGGCCCTCGTGGCCCAGCGCGCTCTTGAGGTCGTCGAGCGTCATCAGCGGCAGATCGCGGCCATCGGCGGTGCGGTGCGTCCACGTGCGTCCGTCGATGCCGATGAGGTGGTGCTGCACGCCCGCCGGCAGCGACGTCATTTTGGCCACCGTCGGGTCGAACGCGTGCACCTCGCACCCGAAGCGCGCCATCTCGACCTCGAACGACGGATCGGTCCTGACGCCGAACGAATAGACCAGGCACGGCTCGCCCTCCGGCAGCAGCCCCGCGTCCAGGCACACCGGCTTCTTGCCGTCCATGGCGGCGACCACTTCACACTGGCCGCCGTCATTCCCCGAACAAAAGCACTTGCCGCCCGGCTGCATCAGCCGGCGGCAGTGCGTGCGCAGGTTGGCCTCCGAGAGCGCCCGAGCCAGCTGCTGGTACACCTGGAGGCCGGAGAGCGCTTCGACGGCGCGGGCGCGGTCCCACGCGCTGCAGCCGGTGCAGTCCTCCGACACGGATCTGGAGCGGAAGCGGTGCTGTGACAGGGCATGGTCTGGATGGTCATCTATGCTTGAGCCAGCGGCCATCTGGCTGGATGGCATGGTGGCAAGGAACAAAGTCACAAGTATGAAGGTATTACATGAATATATCACAAGGTTTGAAGGCATCACAAGCTATGAATATATCAGAAGGTATGAAGGTATCACAGGGTATGAATGTATCACAAGGTACAAAGGTATCAAAAGGTATCAATATATCAAAAGATATGAATGTATCGCAAGATATAGAGATATCAGTAGGTATGAAGGTATCAAAAGGTATGAAGTTATCAAAGGGTATGAAGATATCACAAGATATGAGTGTATCACAGGGTATGAAGGTATAAAAAGGTATGGAAGTATCACGAGGTGTGAAACTATCACAAGTTATGCAGGTATCGAAAGATATGAGGGTATTACAAGGTATGAAGTTAACAAAGGGCATGAAGGTATCAAAAGACATGAGGTATCACAAGGTACGAGTGTATCACAAGGTATACAGGCATCCCAAAGTATGAAGGTATCACAAGGTACGAGAGTAACACAAGGTATGAATATATGACAAGGTGGTATGAAGTCATCACAAGCTTTACAAGTATAAAGCCATAAGACATCCAGTAAGTGGCAATGCGCCAAAGTATAATTGGCCGAAATTGCAGCATGTGTCTTCGCCACAAAACCCTAAAAGACACGGACAAGTCATAAGCAGTGGGAAATTCAACACCAGCTGAATTATATGATATGGAGAAAAAAAGCATCATGATGTTGTACGTGCCCCACCCCAGCTGTCCTCAGAGAATCCTCTTTCGGTTTAAAAGCGCCAATTTGGACTCCATGATGCACTCTGTTCCGTGATGTACCTTCGGTATAAGCCCTCATGTCATCTGCTCTATCCTGTTCCGCTTTCCATCTCACCCTACCCCTGACACTGTCCCTGCAATCTCCTACCTTGCCGAGGTCTCCCACCCGGCACCAAGCCTGACACCGGCCCTGCAATCTCCTGCCTCGCCGAGGTCTCCCACCCGGCACCAAGCCTGACACCGGCCCTGCAATCTCCTACCCTGCCGAGGTCTCCCACCGGGCACCGAGCCTAGCACCGGCCCCGCGATCTCCTGCCTCGCCGAGGTCTCCCACCGGGCACCGATCCTGGCACCGCCCCTGCAATCTCCTACCTCACCGAGGTTTCCCACATGGGACCGAGCCTGGCACCGCCCTTATCATCCCTCGCCTGGTCGGTGTGCTCCGCCCCAACCATGAAGTTACC